TGTGAGCATCCACATCAACGAGCACTTCTCGGCGGTTCATATCGCTACCGATGAAGGACGTATTTGCCGCCCCTACATCATCGTCAAGAACGGCAAGTCCATGTTGAAGGCAGAGCACCTGAAGATGCTTCAACTTGGTCAAGCGACATTCGACACTTTCCTGACCAGCGGCGTGGTTGAGTATCTCGATGTCAACGAAGAGAACGATACCCTTGTGGCGCTTCAGGAGGATCAAATCACCAACAGCACTACGCACATGGAAATTGAGCCCTTCACGATTCTCGGAGCAGTCGCTGGTCTTATTCCCTTCCCCCATCACAACCAGTCTCCCCGTAATACTTACCAGTGCGCTATGGGTAAACAAGCCATTGGTGCTATTGCCTACAATCAGTTCAACAGAATCGATACCCTTCTTTATACCCTTGTTTATCCTCAACGACCAATGGTCATTACGAAGACGATTCAACTTATCCATTACGACAAGCTCCCGGCAGGACAGAACGCCACCGTCGTTGTCATGTCTTACTCTGGCTACGATATCGAAGATGCGCTTGTTCTGAACAAGGCTTCTCTAGATCGTGGATTCGGCCGCTGCCAAGTGTTCCGCAAGTATACCGCCGAATTGCAAGGCTATACGAATGGGCGCCGCGACAGGGTCGGCGGTATCATGAAGGACGAAGACGACAAGCCCATTGTCAAGCACGCCATCCTCGACGCCGATGGCCTGGCCCAGGTGGGCTCAAAGGTTGAATCCGGACAAACGATGATCAAGAAGGAGACCCCGTTGGACCAGATCTCTACTGGAATCGCTGGCGATCGTGGGTCAGACGACTACCGTGACGCATCAACCAACTACCGCATTTCCGACCCCGCCATCATCGACAAGGTCATGATTTCGGTCAACGAGCGCGAGAACAAGCTGATCAAGGTCCAAACCCGCCAAACTCGTAGGCCGGAACTTGGTGACAAATTCTCGTCCCGTCACGGTCAGAAGGGTGTCGTCGGTATCATCGTCAACGAAGAGGACATGCCCTTCTCCGACAAGGGCCTCCGCCCCGATATCATCATGAACCCCCACGGTTTCCCCTCTCGAATGACAGTCGGCAAGCTCTTCGAGTGCCTGACCGGCAAAGCCTCGGTCATCGCTGGCGAGAAGGACTACGGCTTCGGCGATGCCTTCCGCTCGCACCCTGTCGAGTCCATGGGCCAGGCCCTGATCGACCACGGCTTCTCGTGGGAGGGTAAAGACTACTTCACCTCGGGCATCACGGGTGAGCCCATGGAGGCCTACATCTACAACGGCCCCATCTTCTACCAGCGCCTCAAGCACATGGTACAGGACAAGATGCACTCGCGCTCGCGCGGCCCTCGCGCCATCCTCACGCGCCAGCCCACCGAAGGCCGTTCACGCGACGGCGGTCTCCGTCTTGGAGAGATGGAGCGCGATTGCTTGATCGCCTACGGCGCCTCGCAGTTGTTGCTGGAGCGTCTCATGATATCCTCGGATGGCACCGAGCTCGACGTCTGCCAGGAGTGTGGCCTGTTCGGCTACAAGGGCTACTGCAACGCTTGCAAGAGCACGAGGAACGTTACCCAGATGACAATGCCGTATGCTTGCAAGTTGCTGGTGCAGGAGCTTATCAGTATGAATGTGGGTGTGAAGCTTAAGTTGGAGGATGAGTTCCCTCACCCGAGGTAGTCTTCAGCGACTCCCTCCGTGGGTGGTAGAGGATATGAGGTGGTATCGTGTCGTGTAGGAATTCAAACTCGTCGATGAAATGAGTACGGGTTTGTGGAGAACGGGATCTTTGGTGGTAGTTGCCGGTTGATGTTTGGATTTCTTGCAGATAGTTTACATGACAGGTGTTTGGGCGCGCGTGGTTCTCTTACTCCTTAGCATTTTCAAAGAGCGCGGCGAGGGTAGACAAACGGTTACACTAGACTGTAATGGGACTTACACACAAAGACAAAATACATATACAAGTTCGATCACGATCCTTTTGCACCCCATTTAAAGCCCTTTTTACTGCTACGGTTAGCATCTGGTTGTCGTTGTTCTCGATTTTTGCCTGGACATCACAGGTTAGCAAAGAGGACGGGTGCACAATAAACATTGTCTAACCCAGGTTTCCGGGACCGGATCTACTCTTGGGTTGCTGTGATAGTGAGGAAGAAAAGCTCATAACGTACCCTTGAATGGACGCGCATGCATGCAATATACCTAATTACACCTGCCTATAAAATCCTACAGGCAAGCAGTTGTTGTGGACGACGTCACTCCGCGATTGACTTTGACTCAAGATAAAGAAGAAATCTTTGATGTTCCAGGCGAGTATTTTGGCTATTCTTGACCGTGTGTATCGTTCGCTCACTGACTGGCGTCACCAACCGTCGACTTTTACATTTGGTATTCTAAATAGGTGTATTCTAAGCACCAAAATGGGGGGGTATCACATATTATCCCTTTTCTTTTTCTTCATCCCAGATCATTTCTAGCACAATTGAAAACACCACTCACTGCTTCCTGAAACCACCTTGGCCCATCTCTTTCCTTGTCCTCTCATAAACCCCTTTCACATCTCAGCCTTCTTTTCCCTTTCCCTTCCCACCCCCTTTCAAGTCCCCCTCCCCCTTCTTCATTCCCTCCTCCTTCCCGTTCTTCTTCCCCACCCCCCTCAACCCCCCCATCCAAACCTCAAACTCCACACTTTTCTCTCCCAACCCCGTCCCGCTCTCCGCCGTCCACCCTGCAAAAACAACCTTCATCCACCTCCTCCAGCTCTTCAGCATTGGCATCCCCACAGCTTCTCTCCCACTGCCGACAACGACGTTATCATCATCATCATCATCATCAGCTTGGTACTTAGTCCTTCCGTAAGCAGGCCTTTTGAACAGCGCTATCCTCGCGGAGATCTGTGTAGACCAGACCAGGCCCAAGGAGGGAGTCTTCAAAGCGTACGAGGCATAAGGATCGTCGCCCCAACCGGTGAAAAAACGTTGTTGGTTGTCGAAGTGGAGGGCAGGGTGGTGGATTGTTGAGGGTTCGTCTGCTGGGTGACCGTGAGGGTAGGGGGTGGAGGGGGTGGGAACGTTGCTGCTGGATCGAGGTGGGATGGGGATAGAGGAGCGGGCCATAGAAGAAGAAATGGGCTCAGGCATCTTAGTCCCAAACCGATCGGCTACTTGGTTGGAAACCACCACGGCTAGGTTGTACTTTTGCGCTAGATCGCGAAGTTGCATTCCTAGTCGAACTAGCTCGGCGGTGCGCGCTCCCATGTTAGAGGATCGCGCGCCTGGTGTCGAGGACGACGTAGCTGTTTCTTTGGAAGAACGGTCAAACTCGGCGCGGTAGTTGGCTGCCACGCTATCGAGCACCAACAGGCCGATGTTGCGCCGCTCAATCTCCACGGGCACTTGGTAAGTGAGGATGTGATCTTGGCTTTCCAGGTCGGGCGTGACGGTGCTGATGATGTTGTCGAGCGATGGTCTCTTTCCTCGTCCTTCTCCTCCTCGGCCGCTTTCTGAGTCAAGGTCCGCGAAGAAAGGGTTGGTGGTGAGCATTTGGGCCAGCCGCCGGGTGGAGAGCGGCGCCTCGGTGCTGATGTACAGCGCCGGCCTGCCGAGGCCGTGCGGAGGCGGTAACTGAACTGAGAGGAGCAGTGTGAGCAGGAACTGCGTCTTGCCGGCGCCGGACTCGCCGGTGATCTCGGTTACATAGCCGGCGGGGATACCGCCGCCGCCGAGAGCGCGGTCGATGTCCGGATCTAGGGTGCTGATGGTCTGCCATTGTGCGGCGAGGGAGGCGGGTGCGTTTTTCAGGGTCTGACCATGTTGTTGACCCTGAACATGACTGCTGCTGCCCTGTTGGCCGCGACGAGATGTGGCGAAAACACCTAGGTCATCGTGAAGAGCAGCGAGAACGGCGGCACATAGACGCTTGATATCGAGCAGGGGCAGTTGAGTGCGTTTTCCAATGTCGGCTGCTTCTAGGGTCAAGAGGTCGCTGGTGGTGAGGCCGACCTTCTCCAGGGCAGAGATTAGACTTGCATATTGGGCGACGGGGAAGTGCGGCAGGACGCGGAGAAGATCGGTCATGGGTCATGAAGGGTCATTTGTTTACACGACTTGGTGTACGGTCGTCGTCGTTGTCGAGGTGACGAAGGATCGTGAGTTGTGAGTGGGTGAGGGACGTCTGTTTTGGGTTGTTCATGTGGGTCCCGTCCCGTCCACCTGCGAGACGATCGGCGTTGGGGGCCCGGCAGCGAGTTGTTGTCACTGTTGGTTGTGGACGGGGTTGTGGGTTGCAGATCCGTCCAAGGTTTTGCGTGGGTGTGTGCCGCATTCCGGCCCACTGCCCGCCGGGCCCGCTGTTCGGTGCCCTGTTTGTGGGGCCGCTTGATTGTCTTCCAGGCTTCCGCTTCCACTTGACAACTTTCAGATCTTCCATGTTTTGGGTGACCGAAGCGAAAGAAAAAAAGAAAACCACCCCCATCTCAGCCCAACGAAACACTGATCGCCCCGCTCCCCACGACCCTATCTCTCGGAGAAGAATCCCAAATGGTTTGGATAGGGTTACACTCACAGAAGCTCGAATCGATAGTCTGGGGTCGTTTATACACTAGGTGCTGTGCCACACCCACCACCTTGGACATCTGGGGAGCTGGGCTCGACAGCCTCGTTGTTTCTTACTCCTCATTTCCGAAGACTCACTCCTTCGTGCTGTCCTCCCACCCATCGGCCATCGCAACACCGTGAACATGGACATGCTCCAAGAAACTAGAAGGCCTCAGGTAACGACAGTTCTCACGTTAGCACTCTGGTCCTTTTTGTTTCAGGTGACCGGCTTGACAATTACCAAGGGAAGATATCACCCCTTAGGGGTGTTTGTACACTTAGACCAGGGAAGCTCACACTTATCACTTATCACCAAGCGAGAGATGGCCCAACCAGCTCACTTTTGCCCCAGGCAGGGTTCCCTCCAAGTGGAGAGTAGAATCGCAATGGATCCCAATTCGGGACCTCACCATGAGACGTTGAGCCTCAGCTCTGTGTGCCATTTCCCCGTCTTGTCCCAATCAGAGACATGCTGTTCCTTCAGCTACTGCAAGCCACGTTTGTTGCCCGCCCTTGAATTGGCCCAAAGCAAGCCACGAGCATCTGCAATGGGACCCTTGACCACTGGACTCCCCCAAGGGTACCACCAGTGTGGAGGAAGAGGAAGAAGAGATGGGGAGATGGGTTCACGGGAAGAGGAGAAAAGGGCGTCAAAGTCAGGCACACTTGCCAGCCACCCGCGGGTCTCTCGCCATGGCTGTGACTGGTATCCTATGGCCTTCTTCTGCATGAAGGCAACCCGCTCTCGTAGCCCAGGCTGAGAGAAAATATTGTGCAGAAGCATAGGAATGTGGGAGGCTTGACCAAAAAGAGAACCGAAGGTCCCTACTATTCTAGGCTCGCCGTCATATGCAAGCAGCTATCCCATGGGTTGACTGGTCTCGCGGACGATAAAGTGGCACTGGTTGCTTTTCTCCGAGGGCTGAACTAGATAATCATCCCATTGAAATCATCCTTTTCTCACACAACCCTCTCTTCCTCTCCCTCTTTCTTTCTTGTTGTGATTTGAATGTGAGTCCATTCACGCCATCCGCAACCATGGGTGTCTCCAGATTTTACCGTGTTGCTCTCCTTGGAGCTTCTGTTCACGCCTTAGCATTTCCCGGGCCCCAGGCGACAGATCGAGTTATCATTCCGTCAGACGCGCAGACTCCTAGACCAACACTTCCCCCGACTCTTCATCATGAGCTTTTCAAACGTCAAGTTTCCGGGAGCGCAAGCGGCTCTGGCTCCTATGGCGATACTATCTTCGTTGCCCCAGACAATACTTGTGGTTATGTGAGCGGATTACCAGGTAAGTATTAAGTGATACAGACCATTCCTTGTTCTTTATAAGTTCTCATCATACTAACCATCATGGTATTGTCATAGGCGCTGCTTTTACCTGCGTCGACCCAGCCAATTATTGCGTCTTCGTTCCTTCCTCTGGCACGATACCGGGTGCTGCAGGATGCTGCAACACCAAACTTTGCGGCTTCCGTGTTGCTTGCAGGGACTATAGCGAGGTCCTTGTCCAGAGCAAATGCGATGATGGTTGCATGGCAGACACTTACACCGCGAAGTGGTAAGCCTTCTCCCAAAACGTGGATATCCTTTCCTAACAGCCTGCTAATGACCCAATAGCACGGGAACCGACAATCCCTATTGCGAAACCATTGTCTTCCCCGGTGGTATCACTGATTACTTCTGCGGCACCCTCAGCGGCTCGCGTATACAGTCAGCCAAGACAACCTGGGATGGCGAGACGGATGGCCGTACCTTTTTGACATGGACAAACACCGGCAGCAGCTCTACCATTGCCGTTCCAACTATGGAGTCCAGTAGCACCGATCACGCAAGCTTAACCGCCTCCTCGAGCTCCTCCGGCACCGTCGGCGTGGGAGGATCGTCCACCGATCCCGCCGACCCCAACCAACCGGACCCGAAGAAGGAACAAGGGGGAACCAACATCGGCGCCATCGTTGGCGGAGCCGTCGGCGGTCTAGTCGTCATCGGTCTCGTCATCCTCGGCATCGTCTGGTTGGTGCGCCGAAACAAAAATCACGACAACAAGAATAACAACACCCCCGACACTCTTGCCACCAGCTCCGCAGCAGCCGGAGCTCCTGGCGGCGGCTATGCAGGTCTAACCAACTCTCCACCGCCGCCCGCACCCAGCCCGGGTAATCTCGACCCAGCCCTCAACAACAACTCTCACAACAGTTACTACTACGCCGGCGGCGGCGGCGGCCAACCCGACCCTACCAAGATACCCGCCATGGCACAACACTACCCTGCTCCTGCCTCGTCCCCTCCCCTCGCCGATTACAGCGACATGAACAACGGGGGGCAGCAGCCACAATGGAATAACAACCCCAATGGCAGCCCTACATCAGGCTACATCCCCCCCTCCAGCCCTTCTTCCACCTTGGTGTCCGGGGGTGGGTATCAACCTAGTAGCGGCGGCGGTCATCCGCATCACTTGTCCATGTCAGGACAGAGCTTCACGGGTGCACCAATGGGCGGGCAAGGGCAAGGACCAATATACGGACCTGGCGGACAGCCGATCTACGAGGCGGCGAGTAATGCGGTGGGGGAGCCGCAAGAGTTGAATGCAAATCATAGGGGCCAGATGCATGAGTTGCAATAGGTGAGATGAGGCAGGGGTGATACCTAGTGTTTTATATGAAATGTGATAGATGAACGGATCGGTTTGAAAGGAATGGTGGAAGGTCAATTGGGAATTAGTGCGTACCATGCCTTAACGATGAAATGGGGTCTGTCACACTTTCTTATGTAGATATCGATATCATGCTTGTTCACTCATAGGAATGAGCCGGATTAGTCAGGTTGTTCGTAAGAGGTGATTGATGTTTTGCATGTCTTTGATGTTGCAACCTTTGCTCGTGCTCTAAAGTAATTGTGGGAGGTCAATGACACACTGGTAAATTTGAACAAACGACCTTTCGCGCTATATCGGAGACGATACTCAATAGTCTCAATTTACATGTATAAACCCTATGGGCAGGAGTGATTGCTCCTTCCTACTATAATAAACGCAGAATCGAAACACATCTTAAGAGCCTGGGTAATGCCATGCGTGACACCCGCCGTCGTCACGGGTAGCTGTGGTAACCAGACAGAGATAGAGCAATAAAAACGTGATGCAGTCATGGATAATATCAGGGATTGACGGAGATATCTTCGATCCAAGCGCAGGAGCCATAACCACTCACCTACACATGTTGAGCACCATCACAATGACAATGCAACTATAAAACATCACACATTTCATTATCAAAACTTCCTCCCACCCACTCATTCTGTATAGACTCTAGAACTCTAGGTCTATTTCCAGGGGCCAATACAAAAACAAAACATCTATGGCTATAACAGGTAACCAGAAACTCGCAGCTTGCCTCCCTCCCATTTTATCTGTTGATCGAATGCACCAAGTGGCATCCATGCTTTAACCCATTCAAGGAGTCGCAGTAGCTTCAAACTCCTCACCCCCAGGGACCACCAACCCATCTGCCTCCCCTTCACTCCTCTCCTGCTTCAATCTCTCCAACTGAGAAGTGATATAGTTCTGCAGGTGCTGATCGGTCTCTTCCCTCTCGCGCGCGCTGCCGTTCGAAAGTCCCACCACAGAGCTAGTCACAGACCGGCGGCGATCCACTGGCGAGGTGGCTTCGTCGTCGGTGAGTTCCTTGTCATCATCCAAGCCATTGAATTCAAAGTCGCTGCGGGCGGAAATAGAGCGAGTAGTTGAGTTGCGGCGAAGGTGATGGGGAGAGCGGGGTGTCTTGGGCGTTTGCGTTCCACCAGCGTGGCGGTGGAAGATGTCGTCGAAGTAGTGCGCCATGCCGATACGTGGTGTGCGGGGAGTGTGTGGGAGACGGCAGGAGACGCCAGTGTCGTGGATCATCTTGGCAATCAAACCAGTCCAACCGCACTGATGCGTGGCGCCCAGTCCACGTCCGCTATCTCCATCGAAGAACTCGTAGAACCAAAGGTAATCACGCCAGTTCTCGTCGTAGTCAAGCACATCATTGCCACCATTGATGCTGCGGCGACCATTATCGTCGCGGGCAAAGAGATGCTGCAGGCGATGCTGGATCTCCTCGGCCACATGACCGAGATGCATATATTCACCTGATCCAACGGGGCATTCGACCTGTAGACTCTGTCCGAAGAAAAGGTAGAATCTTTGCAGCGACTCAACGAGCAAGAAGTTGACGCAGAGCCAGATAGGTCCACGCCAGTTACTGTTGCCTCCAAAGAGACCAGTGTCCGAGTCGCCCGGGACGTAGCCGACCTTGAATGTCTGGCCATTAACGTCCATCGAGAAGGGGTGCTCTTTGTGGTACTTGCTCAAGGACCGAATACCATGTTCACTGAGGAACTCGTCTTCGTCGAGCATTCGCTGAAGGATCTTGGTCAAGCGTTCCTCATTGACAAGAGACAACAGAATTCTGTTGCCTTTACCACGTTTACGGATGCTGAACATGGTTCGCTCTGCGACATCCTCACGGTTTTGCATGAACCACTCGACGCGCTTCTTGAAGGACGGAAGCTTGTTGATCAGCTCAGGCTCCAGCGTCAAGGTAGCGTAAAGGGGGATCAATCCGACAAGTGAGCGAACAGGCAGTTGCTGAATCCAGGGACCACCCCAAGAGATGGCATCATAGTAGAAGCCATCTTCGTCATTCCAAAGCGACTTTTCATCCTTCTGACCCATGCGGAAGGTCATGGCATCGCTGATGAGAATGAAGTGCTCGAAGAACTTGCTTGCAATATCCTCGTAGATGCGCCTGTGCTTGGCCAACTCGAGGGCCATATTGAGCATGTTGAGGCAGTAGAAGGCCATCCAGCCTGTGCTGTCCGCTTGCTCAAGGGTGCCACCAGTGGGCAGGGGCTCAGACCGGTTGAACAAGCCGATGTTGTCGAGACCCAAGAAACCACCCTCGAAGACATTCTTGCCTTCAACGTCTTTCCTGTTTACCCACCAGGTGAAGTTGATGAGCAGTTTCTGGAAGACTCTTTCAAGGAAGTCCAGATCCTGCCTTCCGTACAACTTGCGTTCGATCTTGAACACACGGAATGTCGCCCAGGCATGTACGGGTGGGTTGACATCACTGAAGTTCCATTCATATCTAGTTGCTGTTAGCTTGCTTCCTAAAGTCTTGCCAGGCTCTCTTAAATCCACTTACGCAGGAAGTTGTCCGTTGGGGTGGCAGTACCACTCCCTGGTGAAGAGATCCAATTGTTTCTTGGCAAACTCGGGATCAATCATGGCCAGGGTAATGCAGTGGAAACTGGTGTCCCAAGCAGCGAAGAAGGGATACTCCCATGAGTCTGGCATCGAGAGGATATCATCGCAGTGCAGATGTTTCCAGGTCTGGTTGCGGATATTCTTTCGTTCAGGAGGCGGAGGTGGTTGAGCAGGGTCGCCATTGGCCCACTCATCCCAGATAAAGAGGTAATGCTGCTTGCACCACATCATGCCCGCGAAGGCCTGTCGCTGGATGTTCCGAAGGTCGTCGGCCATCGGCAAGGGACTGATGCGGTAGTAGAAATCGTCGGCCTCCTCCTTCTTCTTGTCCATGAGGTCATCGAACTCTTCTTCGTCAAGGTAATCGGTGTTCTTCTTGGAGAAACGGAAACGAACAACTACTCAGTGTTAGTGCTTGCCAGTAACCAGCCTTGCTCCAAGTACTTACCTGCACACTCGCCCGGGGCCACACCACCAGCCTCGTTGAAGGTGAACCACGCTGCGCTCTTGGTACCGGTCTGAGCAGGGTTGACGGCCTCCTTCTCGCCGTCGACGATGTATCTGTGGAAGCCATCCTTGACGTAGGGCTGTTTGTTCGGGACCTTGTAGAGAAGCTCGGTGTTCGTATCGTTCTCGGTGAAGATGAGCTTTGGGTGTACATCTTCGCCGCTGGGACCGACACCGGGCGAGGGAGAGAGCAGGAGATAGCGTTCTCCCAGCTGGTGGTGCTGAGACTTGACCAGATTATCCCCAACGGCCTGGAGCGAGGGCTTGGTGCTTTCCGGCTCACGGCCCCAAGCCCAGGTGTTGCGGAACCACATCTGAGGGATGATGTGTAGAGGAGCCGGGTCCGGACCCCTGTTCCAGGCAGTAACACGGAACAGGAGCTCATCCGGATCGTCATCTTCCTTGGCGGTCTCAATGAAGATATCCCAGTAACGGTTGTCTTCGAAGACGCCGGTGTCGAGAATCTGGTATTCCTTGTCCGTCCTTCCTCGTCGAGCGTTTTCCTTGATCAGGTCCTCATAGGGGAACTCTGCTTGCGGATACTTGTAAAGATATTTCATGTACGAGTGCTATAGTCAAGACTGTAAGCTTCCGTGATGTCCCCGTTGACGGGGAAATCTTACCGTCTGTTTGAAGAGAATCAGTTAGCAACGAGTACGATTTCAACAGAGAGTCCAGGAAGAGTGTGAAACTCACAGGTGTGTTGTCCACGTGGAAGTGAGCCTCCTTGATACTTTCTCCATGATTACCCTGTGGGTTGGACAAGCCAAAGAGGCGTTCCTTGAGGAAGGCACTAAGCGCCAGTTAGCAAACAAGACTATCTTGTTTATATTCAAGGACAATTATCTTACTCCTTTTCGTTCCAGAAAGAAAAGGCAATGTTCTGGAGGCCATGTGTGTCGCAAACGCCGGCAATACCGTCCTCTCCCCATCTGTATGTTCGAGATCGGGCGTGTTCGTGCGGGAAGTCTACAGCCAACATATCAGCGGGTCTGGCCATCAGGGTTCAAGGCCAACCACGGGATGAAAGACTCACGACTCCACGCATCACCGTCGGCGCTGTAATCCTCTCGGACTGTAAGAAGGGACAGTTGTTAGTTCAGACGAGACGACATTGACATAGGCGAGCTGTAATTAGCTCCAGCGGAGACGGGCGTTGAGAAGACTTGCCAGTCGCCCATTGTCTTTCAGCCACATAGGGACCCCATTTCTTCCAGTACTTGGTCCGGTTTCGATCCTCCTTCAGCCTCTTTTCCTCCTCTGTGAGGTATTCATGGTTGTCGAAAACGGGCATGTTGTCGACCTCGTCTTGTCCAGTGTTGCTTTCAGAAGTTCAGGGGCGAGACGTTCACAGCAATTATCGAGTGCGCGGAAGCTCTCGCAAAAGGTATATCAAGGGGGGAAGACTTGTCGGGAAGCGAGTGTTCTTGGGCAGCAACGGAAACCACCTCAGGCGGCGGTCCGGGAGGAAGAAACGATTGGGAAGAAAAGGGGAACGTTGAAAGTAACTGATCGACAGGGCGTGTACAGCACACACACGAGGTTCTGGGCCTCTTGTCCTTTTTGTTGGTGCGCGCGTACAGATGGCGAGTGTCTTGGAGGGGAGGGGGAGCTTTGAGTCGCAGTCGATCCCTCAAGCGGGGACCCGGGATCTAGAAGGGGCGCAACCACACACAGTCGAATAGAAAGACTTGAAAAATCTAGGGAAACTGGGAAGAATCAATAAATCAAGAAATCCAACAAGAGATGGGTCCATAGGGTAGCCGAGAAAAAAGAGAGCAACTTGTTCAGCGGCAAAGGATCGGTGACGACCTGGAGGGGCGGGACCTTTGTGGAAACGTGTGAGCGCGATGGTAGACAGGACACTAACGCTGGGGCTAGGTACCCACTTGTTAGGCTGGCACTAACAGCTGTCATGGAGAAACAGGTATTTCTGCGCTGCGGGCACAACGTATCTGCCACTATCGACATGCACGGCGGCAATGCTACCTAGGTAGGTACGAGAAGCAGGACTTGCACTTGGGTCATGCCAGACGGGCGTGCAAATAGGCCCCGGTAGGTATCAGGGCCACGTCGGCTGGACCTACCTACTTACTGTTGATGCGCAGCCAGACGGGATGAAGGTCGATGTGATGATGTACTGGGATCCATGCCACCACCGGTACTGCATCGGCGTGTAGCTCTTGCTAGGTAGGCACTCCTCTACTGTACACTAGGTACTGCCGATGGAGGGGCATCTGCAACCGACCGATGGAGAGGACAAGGCAGGCAGGAACAAGACTCGAGCAGTGAGGGGTACACACACCGCATTCATTTGATTTGCACAGACATTCCTGACATTGCATAAGTACCTTGTAGTGTCGTGGGACTGGATGTCTCTCTCTTTTTGGGCCTAATCCCCGTCTATTCCATACATAGTCCCCTTGGGGATTGTTGAATGCTGTTCTTGTGTGGTTCGGCAGGAAACCCCACCATTATCCTCCAGTGCATTGGTAGGTAGGTAGGTACAGCTTGACATGCAAGTGTCCAGACGTCCAAAGATAGACCACCATGACCACTTCCAGTGTGTTATGTACTGCATCGCATCTTGCATGTCCTGTGTAATTTGAGACCAGAAAACATTAAACAAAATGACTAAAAAGCCGTGGTGATGCCGTTTCAGAGCCAAAAGGTCTGAAAAGTGGTGTACACTACGCTAGCAAGGACTCGATAGTGTCATTGGTGTTTTGTTCCTTGGCGGTTGTTTCTTGAGCTGTGAGGATAGCTACATAATGTGTGACGTCATCAGGCTAATCTACCTACTTGTAGCGCATGTAGCTACTCCAATTAGCCCTGCTCTGCGACCCCGAGATCAGTTGGAATCCCCGTATGCGCAGCTCTCAAACTCTCGAAAATGGACTGAACGTTTGTTTCGATTTTATCAGATCGTCGTAGTTTGTGTGTGTCTCTTTCTTGTCCTTACCGGCGATCGGTTCTAGAACCATTCATAATCCAGTAAAGAGCAACAAAGATTATCCCGAGATATGGCTGGTTTGCCAAGTTAGGATTACCCCCAACGGTTCCGGTTCGGGTTGCCTGTCAAAGCTCGGGGCTGCGGTGTTGTCAGCTTGTCAAGTCTCTGGCATCCCAACTGTCACATTACTCATGTCAATGAACAGAAACCGACCCAGCCTGAGCTAGCCCTCCACAGCGCATTCATGCCCGAAAAGGAGGGGAAGAAAGGCCCGAACAGATCAGATCCACAACGAAGCAACGTCTATGAGTTGGCTTTGGAGTTTTCGAGACTCTGTGAACTGCTGTTGGTCGGCTGCATCCAAGATGAGATAACAAGGTCCACTTTAGGTAGCTCAATCTAGTTCAGGACTTTCCATTCCACCGTCGAACCCCCCCCAACTGTGGCTTACTGCTGCTGTGCTACCTTCGCAGATAGCCTCATAGACCTCATAGGCAACACGACAAACGCCATGTAGCTTACCAGAAAGGGTCCTGAACATGAACATGTGCAAATCAACTGGATATGTGCTGTGCACCATTTCTTGCTCGAATGTGTAACATCTCAAAATCCTGCGTCGTTGGTTTCGTTGGGATGCATATTACAGAGATTCATAGGGCTGTTGGTTGTATGTCCTGTGCAGCGACACCTGTAGCCCATGCACTGCAGCTGCATCGGGTTATGACAGCCCAGCTGGAGATAACCTCCGGCTGAGCTGGCTACGCTCGTAAGAAGATGGCAAAGAGAGAGAGAAAACACAGATACGGGGACTTGAAGATGTGATGAGAATTGGGGATTAAAGTGCTGTGAATTCATACCAAATGGCTTCGCTGCCGTAAAAGCCATGCCTAATGCATCTATTGAACATCATGAGATCGCTGTTGCCCTGAACACCCCCTCTTCCTTTTGCTTGCCCAAATAGAAACAGTATCCGACATGCGCCAAAGTACCTAATCACAAAGCCCACGACGAGAACTACCCCTCAGAGCCCCGAATCCACTCGGTAGGCTCGAATCAAAGGGACAACAATATCAGGTCAACAAAGCCGGAAATGCCATCGTCGCCCTACAGCTTAGGCTTCACAGGCCCCGTCTTGTTACCATCAGCCGCCGCGGCAGCCAGAGCCGCAGCCGTCGCCTCCTTGTTGACAACAATCTCGCCTGTCTTCGGGCCGTCGTATCCAAAGAAGATAACCTGGACCGTCAAATCATCACGGTATCTCCTCGAAAAGGGCGAAGGGAGCGTCAACAGGGCCGACACTTGTTCCTGGTTCTTCCCACCGAGGGCGTTGCGAACAAGATGTGTAGCAACATTCTTATCCTGAACCACAAACCGTTCCATCGGGTCCGTACCGGTAGCGCCCCACTGTCTCTGACGAATGGGCGTCTTATTGCCGCTATTCTTCTCCGACTCGCTGGATTCGACAGGCAGGGCTGTCTTGCTACCCTTTTGCAAGAAGGAGAAAAAACCCGACGACTTGGAGCTGCTACCAGCTTGGCTCTCGATCCACTTGCCCACCAGCCCAACCACCTCCTCGTTGGTCAACATCTCCCACAAGCCGTCTGTGGCCATGACCACAAAATCACCCTTTTCAGGCTCGATCTTGGTCGTTGTAACGACTGGCTCGGCGGTGACATATGGGGGTGTCTTGAGAAGGGGAGAAACAGACCTACCAAAGAACTTTTCCCGAAGCTTCTCTGAAAGTTCGCGGCTCCATTTGTAGCTCGCATCGCCGAAGGCGCGTGTCGGCTCAAGGCCGCCAAGTACGCGACCGTGACGAACCACATGCTCTTCACCCGGGTGCAGTTTGCGCAAGCGAGCAGCCTCGTCCGGGTTACTACCCGTCTGGTCGGTTGATAGGGCAGTTGCCGTCCACTTTCCAGATTCGGATCTGCGACCCAACACTGCGCGCGAATCGCCAGTGCAAGCAACCCGGAGAAGCTTGGACTTGCTGTCGTAGAAGGAGAGCAGAGCACACGAGCCTGACAAGGCTGGGGCCAGATGTTCGGCAGCAACGAGCCGGTTGTTGGACTTCAGAACCCTTTGTACGCTCTGATGCACAATCTCGTCATCCAGTCGCGTAAATCCGGTTTTTATGGCAGACTCAACCGCGGCGGCAGACGGGATAAGATCCGGAGAAGACTTGTAGGTCTCGTTGAGTTCGCGAGCAACGAAACTGATGAGTGCCTGGCGTAGTTTGGCCGATGTGGTCCAGCCTCTGTATGGAATGTTGTTAGTCGTCGCTCAACAAGCACTGACTATATCAAAAATGTATATATATACATATATATATAGTCCGCGTGGGAGAGTCACTTACGAATGGCCATCGAAAACGCCCCAAAACATCCAATCGCTCGGATCACTGCTCGGAGCCTTGTTGGGCACCTCGACAATCTTTTCGGCATGGTCATCCTCGATCGGATCGTTAGAGGGCAGCTGGGCCACATCGTAACGAACCACACCCTGACCACGGTTAACGTAGACCGACTGCTCGTACTGGCGTAGCTTCCGGGTCGCTTGCTCGGGGGACAACATCTCGACTACTCTTTCGTTATCGCTTGTGGTCTTGGAAATAGGGCCGTCTCCCACAAAGGTACCCGTGTGTAACTCGTCGGCTCCGATCACCAGGACAGACCGGGTCGGGACAGCGCCCGTAGCGGTGGTGGTTGCGCTAGTCGTCGAGGCTATCGGAGACTCGCTATTGCTGTCGCCGGAGTTGTACCAGGCACCGTAGGCGACAAGCCCTGAAAGCAGGGTGACGAAAGCGCCGCGGACGTACATGGATGAACGAAGGGGCTCGGGGCGAGCATTCGAATGATGATGCGTACCTGAAGAGTCGCGCGCGCCGGTAGACGACAGGTATCTTGCGGTAGCCGTGCCGAGACGGGGATTGTAATGAGCTGTGGGGGAACCGGAACTGGCTGCCTTTGAGGACTGCAGCAGGGGGAGAGGTGATCCCCTACGGCTAACTCGTAGGCCCCGGCAGGTGCACTGGTAGCTCGTCCGTAGAGCTTTGACGGCAGCACGACGCATGGCTTTTGAGGCTGAAGACCACTCCTTCCCGAAGACGGAGCGATGTAGCAAGAGATAAAAGTACGTGGTGGAGGGTCGATGTGAGGCGTCTTTGGCGACGGTGATAAATGTGGGTGTTGATGGGTTCAGTCGTCCACTCGCTGGGGTCGGGCCAGTGCGAGATACGGTGCGCTGTCGCTCCGTCGCTGTCAGCGCTCAAGTGCCAAGTACCTAGTGTACAAGATTAGGTTGTGGTGACGATCGCAGTGTGCAGTCGAGTCTGGCACGTCTGAGTCGGTGGGCGTATTGGCGTGGATTGCCCCTGGAGAAAAGGTAACGCAGTGCCGGACGCTGATGGGGATGGGAGAAGTTGAAACTTGGCTATGATCTAGAGGTATTATATCGGTCCACCGTGTAAAGAGCAATTCCGTTTTGATTTGGAAAAGATGTCGGGTGGGTGTTTGTACGAGAAGGAAAGGCGAAGGGAAGCAACATGAAACCTAGTAACGGAGCAATGCCCTGTGTGTACCTACATACATATAGCAGTGCACGTTCGTCCCTGAGATCTCAGTGGCCATTCCGCTGTATCACGGCCGCATTTCAGGGGTGCGCAGTGTTTGGTCGTTGCTCTCAACGTGCCTCCCTGTGGCGTGTAGTGTAGAGGTAGGAACGGGATCTCAAGATCGGGTCCGTGCTCGTTGCCCGGTGAGCCTGGACCTTTCCTTTACCTGGCCATCCTCAGGCGCAGGCTGGGACGGCAGGGTTCTCTTATTAGTGGACCTCACTTCCCGCCCTTGCCTCAGAACGACTACAACATCCCGAACAACTTGAACCTCGTTCCGTCATCCCACCCCGGAAACTCACATGTGATACACCGAGAAGTGTTATTCTCGTCTTTTCAGAAAAGCTCCATTTGTAGCTATTGCAGCTGCTGGTCCGCTGCACAAGCTTCCTTTCCGGCTTGGATACATCACCTCGTGGACCTCATTCCAGTGAAGGTGACATCCTCCTTCTGAAGCGTAGGCTTCATCGAACGGGCACGCGGGATCTCTACGCCAGCCCCTCACTTTCCACAACCACGAAATGGAGATTCCTACACAACAACCGTCAACGGGCGGCAATGACGTCGCCGCCTTCAAGAAGTTTGATGCCTACCCTTGGATCAAGGACCGTTCCTTTCTTGTGAGTCAACTCGCGGTGACCATGTGAGGGGGCGCCTCACTCAGGCCTCACCTGTGAATCTCTCTCTCATCACAAACAGTCCTCACTCGGTACCGCTCACCATGTGACAATTTTCAACCCCAAAGACTGACCGCTACCATCATCATCATCGCAGCAAGGGCTGGTAGCCATGTTGGGCCCTCTCTCAAACGGGTTCGAGCGCCAAAAGGCTCTTGGCATCTCTCTCCAAGCCCGCGTCTGGTGGTACAAGTCCCGCTTCAGTATCGACATCGACCGGTCCGCCTACGAGAACTATCTTCTCCCTTCGTCATCTCCTTCGACACCCTCCCACTCACAAATTCCCAATTCGCCAGTCGACGCCCAGCTAGTTGACAAGCTCGCCGAGATCCAGCAGCTCATGGGCACTACCCCAGTCTCAGCATCAGATGACGATCTACCCGCTTGGCAAGTCCAGGCTCCCAAGGTGGATTTACTCAAAAAGGCCGATGATGGTGACGCCGATGGTGCTGAAAGGGGAACCAATGGTAATGCTCCTTACCCGGAGCGTTTCAACGCCATCATTGAGCTCATCACGAATGGGACGCCGGTCCCTGGCATTAAGGAGATTCCTAATACGGTTGTTAGGCAGCCTGTGAGTTTTCCACTTTCACTTATATATCGTGCGCCTTTCCCCTCTCAAATAGTACTTCTTCCTTCGTTGGAAACTATGAAGAGCTGGAAGTAAAAGACTTCAAAACTGATGGGAAAAGAATGAAACGTTGAACAAACACTAACTCTGCCTCTCATTCTCCTTTAGGGTATTTCTCCTATTGGAAAGATGCAAGCTCCCCAGAAGCCCTGGGAGAAGAAGCAACAACAAGCTGCAGCCGCGAACCTCGTCACTTCCGAGGTCATGATCGATCGTGAATTCCCTCCCCTCCCACCTGAGGACGAGGAGCAAGAGCATCAGCGAGACCAGCCACAGAAGATGGGAGCCTAGTCAGTTTCCGCTCATGACGGCTTTCCCCCCAAGATGTGCGCGGCAGCACATATCAAGATTGGTCGCATTTCCATGATTAGACGTCATTTCTTTTTCTCAAACCAAGTGAAGTACCCGAGCCACATGATGAGCTCGTCCCTCATCAGGGGCAAGATGATGCGTAAGATGGTGCTAGAGTGTGAGGACGGAGTGCATAGCATGGTATAGAGTCGTGGTTTTGGCAGCGGTTTCATTACTTGCATATATATCAATGAGCAGATGGCAATGCTCTCTGTGGGGTTCCTGCTCGTTTCTCCGTTAGTATCCCCCAAGTCATGATCTGGCAAATCCAGATTTGGAAGGTTCTTACGTAGATGTGGCGGTCCACTGGCGGGCAACGATCTTATTGAGCAGATCGCAATGCTTACTGGGCGGCCGCTATACATGGCTTCATGGGATACATCCAGCATGTTTTGGCGCACAAAGATTTGACTTTCTGGTCGTGTATCTCACGTTGTTTGATGTTGATTTAGCCTAGTAATCCCCTTTAGTGTTACCGAACATAGCTTCAGTATGGAGTAGACGTCGGTCACAATTTACTGAGCAAGAAGTCCATAACGCGTCACGGGGATCTCGGGAAATGATCCCTGGGATGTTCCAGTAACTATACAATCATTCTGCCGATGACTTTGCTGGGAGACTGGTCCATGGAACTATTTGCAACGGCAAGAGCATCCACAGCAACATATTCGATAGGCGATGAATCGATTCGACAGTAAAGCTAGGTACAACCGTAGTTCGTTGAATGAGATTGACCCTAACGGCTACGATTGAATGGAATTGTCATCCATGGATGGGTTGTGAACGAAATATACTTCGTGGGATTATTATGCAGTTGCTTGAACATCCCAGGAATTGATTTCTCAAGCCCTCGTGGCACGCCATAAGAGATGACTGAACAGACCAGCCATATAAGTAACATGGCATACAACCCTGCTACTCTAGGCCTGACTGTAAGCATCGACACCTCTCTTCACAACGTCCACACCATCATCCCTTCAATATATACATGCACAATAAACACAAAGCTACGACAAAAATTAATCAAAGAGCAAGAACAAAACTCTATATGTCTCTTATCGTTCTTCAAAAAAAACAATTTGCAGCAACTGGGATGCATGCGGTAAGAACAAGTTGAAAAGAGAAAGCAAGGAAAGACGGAAGTCCCTCCTTCCTCTCTTTTTTTCATCCTTATATGTCCTGCACTGTACTGTGATCCAGTGTCTGTTGGTTTGGCTGTATCTGTCTGTCCGTTGTCTTGTTCATTATACGCCCCCCTTACCTTTGCCTTGCTTTTCCCTACGCTTGATCTCTGATGCTTATCTATGCACCATAGGCGATCTGACCCATAGGTCTATCCTCCTCCATGCCGGGAGCCATGAAGTTGGTTCGGGGATCACCCGTCTCCTTGGCGGCTGAGCAACGGGCCATGGTTGGGGAGCTGTGAATTGTGGACGGTTAGTGGATACTGCGTTATGATCTGATGGAAGTGGAGATGTCGACAGCGTAACAAAAGAGAACGAACCTTCTGGAAATGGCGTCAGTAAAGTAGAAGTTCTCGATAACCTTCTTGAGGGGCTCGTTGGTTGCGGTGGCGCCCTGGTTCTGCTCGACCAGCTGCACCTTGCTGAGCTGCTGCAGCGAGGGAGGCTCAATGATATCATAAGATGACAGAGCAGGGCTAATCTCGACCATGCGATCCCGAAGTTGAGCGACATCGTCATAGGGAAGGCGGACGCCGAGGTACTCGCTCACAGCGCGGAGAATCTTCCAGTCCGTACGGGCGGCACCGGGAAGGCCGGTGGCAGCGCGGGTCATCTGCACACGGCCCTCGGTGTTGACGTAGGTACCAGCCTTCTCGGTGTAGGCAGCGCCAGGGAGAACGATATCGGCGATCTGGGCGCCCCGGTCACCGTGGTGACCTTGGTAGACAATGAAGGCGTCCTTGGGGATGTCGGCCTCGTTGAACTCATCGGCGCCAAGGAGCCAGACGAACTTGGGCTTTGTCTCGGCAATCTCGGCGGAAGGCACAGTGAAGCCAACCTCGAAGGCGCCGACTCTGGAGGCAGCGCGCTGCAGGACGTTGTAGCCGTTCCACTCCTCAGTAAGGAAGTTAGAAGCGTTGCTGTCGACGAACTTTCCAACGGTCTCATAGAAGGCATTAGCGTCGCCGTGGTCGGTGACGCCGGAGCCCACAATGATCATGGGGTTCTTGGCCGACTGGAGCTTCTTGCCAAAGTCACCCTCAAGCGCCTTCTGAAGAGCAGCGTGGTCGGTACCTAGGTGCTCAAACTCAAAGGTCGAATCCCAGGTCTGGCCAACAACGCCAATCTCGAGATCAGAGCGCAGCCATTGCTTACGGATTCTAGCATTGAGTACAGCGGCCTCATGTCTCGGGTTAGTACCAACTAGCAAGATAACATCAGCAGATTCGATACCGACGATGCTGGAGTTGAAGATATAGTTGGAGCGGACATCAACACCATGAGCAAGAGGTTTGTGGCCCGAGGGCATATCCAGCGCAAGGTTCTCCGATCCGAGCCTGTTGGCAAGATCCTTCATGGCAACCAATGACTCAACCTCGGTGAGCTGACCAGCAATAGCCTTGAACTCATTGCCCTGGGGGTTCAGCGTTTGGTAAGCGTGTGCAATTTCGGTCAAAGCCTGGTCCCATGACGCCGGCTCGAACTTTCCTTCTCTTCGGACTAGGGGGATGGTAAGACGCTGGGTCTTGAGACCGTCGCAGGCAAAGCGAGTCTTGTCGTTAATCCACTCCTCGTTAACCTCGTCGTTGAGGCGAGGAAGAATGCGCATAACCTCCAAGCCACGAGTGTCGACGCGAATGTTAGAGCCCAGGCCGTCCAGAACGTCAATCGATTCCGTCTTCTTCAGCTCCCAAGGGCGCGCACGGAAAGCATACGGCTTCGAGGTCAGAGCACCGACAGGACAGAGATCGATGACGTTACCAGAAAGCTCAGAGTCGAGGTTCTTCTCCAAGTAGGTACCAATCTGCAGGTCGTTGCCACGGCCGGTCGAACCCAGCTCCGGGGCGCCGGCAATATCGTTCGCGAATCGCACACATCTCGTGCACTGAATACACCTGTTCATGGAGGTCTTGATGAGGGGACCCATGTTCTTGTCCTCCACCGCTCGCTTCCCGCCGACTTCGTGGAACCGACCACGGTCGCCGCCGTAGCGCATCGACTGGTCCTGGAGATCGCACTCACCACCCTGGTCGCAGATAGGGCAGTCCAATGGGTGGTTTGCGAGCAGGAATTCCATCACACCCTCGCGCGCCTTGTGCGTCAGGGGCGAGTTGGTCTTGACGACCATGCCAGGCTGGACGGGCCATGCGCACGACGCGACGGGCTTCGGGACCTTTTCGACTTCGACCAAGCACATGCGGCAGTTGCCCGCAATCATGAGCTTCCTGGAAAGTTACAACATTTGTCAGTCGATCTTCGTAGGGCTGACGCCTGCTGGAGTGACTGGAGCTGCGATCAATTTGGGAGAGCAGGGCGAGCCACATGTGACGTACTCATGATAACAGTATCTGCAAAACAGTCAGCAAGAACCTCTACGGGCAGTTCCGAGATTCAGGGTCCGTTTTCCGCATACCTGGGAATGGTAACGCCAGCCTTTTCGCAAGCCTGGATCAAGGCCGATCCAGCTGGTGGTTTCCTCGAGTATTAGCGACGACCATGTCCGTATTTTTGGGCCCCCCCTCATCCCCATTTTCCGTAGCCAGGACTTGCGACGCAGCGCATTGTGAGTGCTCACCCTCGATAGAGACCTTCTTTCCATCTGTGAGATGCGGGAGACACGAGTCAGTATCGGCGCCGACGGGTACGGGGATCATACACGGTGTATGCTAGTCATGGGGTGGAGGTCTGGATGGAGACATACCAATTGTGAGCTCGACCTCTGCGGGTCTCTGAGCTGTGGCCGAAAAGGCACGGCTGGCGTTCCTGGCCGCCTGATGCCTGCCAGTCCGCCAAGCCGAACGGGACAATGTCGACCTCAACATCGTGTGTCGTCGTCTCGACGGCGGTCGGAGGGGGACTTGGAGGTCGAGATAGTATCGAGAGGTTGGATGTATCGCAATACCTATGCCTGCAGCCAGCAAGCGCCTGCTTGTATGTTATGTCGGGTCGGCAATGACAGTGGGCAGGTCGTCTGGTCTGTGCTGTGAGTTGGACGACAGTACACTAGACCCGGACCTGCCACTCTGCCAGTCCAGTGGTCGGTATTGCAGTGGGCTCAGGTTCCACCCTGCCGCCCCGGCAAGAAGTGAGGAGCTGGACCCCACCAGCTGCCGGCTACATAGCGGAGTAAAGAGAGCTTCGACCAATCATGATGCTTAATTTGTAAGCCCACTCTCGGAGATCTCAAAACTCCTTTAAAAGCTCGGCCAGCTGCCGCGCTTCCTCTTTTTTTGATCTCTTTCCCTCATTATTGTACCATGGCCACTTATTGTAGGGGGATATTGGTTCGCAAACTGTCCACGCTTTCGGGTATGGCTTTTGCACGCTCTACGAGTGTTCCCCTCTATCATGTGTCCTAGATAGATTTTCTTTGGCTCCGTTTATGGATACACGCTAGATGTCCCTTTCGAGGGCGTCTTTGAGCAGTGATTCTTACCGCCGGTTGCCACATCTCATCACAACCAAAATGACCTTGCTTAAAAGCACGGTTTGAAGTAGAAGTGTAGTTGATCTGCTCCATGTTCATTTGGCGACTATCTGGGACCGAACTCTAGCTTCACGGCTGCTGCTCAACCCCTCTCACGAGCTCGTACCCATGTCGAAACTCTGATGGCAGGCAGCATGTGGTGATGATATATCTAGTCATCAGCCCATGGGTGCATCTTGAACCCGAGTCCGTTCCTCCGGCCTCAACGCCGCCTGTCGCAGCATCTCCTGCTCCTTCCCCAGCAGTTCGACGTAGGTGCTCCTCAAGCCCTTCATGTGATTCTGGTACGCCTCGATCTCATTCTTCCCCGCTTCCACCACCGTCAGGATATCCATCATGGCCTTCTCCCTCAGCGAGACATCGCGTGGCATGAACTCCTGCGGGTTGAGCTCCGGTAGATGCTTGACATTGAACGGGTTGTTGGGGTCGTTGTAGTCAATCCCTTCGGGAGCTGGCCTCTCCATGCTGGCAAACACGGCGTCGATTTCCGTCTCTGCTGGGCCAGGCGGGTGCAGATCGCGAAGCTTAAACTCTTCCTCACGCTCGGCCGCGTCAAGAGAGAACCGACGCATCTCCCGCTCAAACATCCATATGTAGTTCTCCTTGACGGCGGCGGTGTGGTAATCGATGGTCTCGATAATGCGCTTCAAGCGTGCGATCCGCTGGCTTGGCTCATCGTCTTCGGATGGTGGTTCGACGTCGTCTTTTCTGAGAGGGACAAACATGCTCGGTGCCACGTTGGTGAGAGGCGGAATTTGTTGAGAGGGTCGGAGTGTCGGGGGTTGAGGTTGATGCTGTCCGCCGCCGGTGGAATGGGCACCCGGTCGATGATTCGAGTGTGAGGACATTATGACTGCTTGATATAGGCACAGGGACAGAGAACTGTGCCCAAAGGAATGTGCCTTTCGCGATACCTCTTTTGACTGAGTTTTTTTTTTTTTTTTTTTTTTTTTTTTCTTTTCCAAAAAGAACGCTTTGGTTGAGTTCAGGTATAGTAATGGGGTTTCCTGACGGCGAGAATGTCGTTAGCAACTGTCCTTGTAGCTTAGAAGAGGATTGCTTTTGACACTTGTCAAAACATACGATGAGATCAAAATTGTATCAAAGTTGTTCTGGTCTGTGCATTGACCTGCCGATATGAGCTGATGTGAAGAATTCACATGTTGCGGTAGTCACCATATCTCCTGGTGATTTTGTGCTGATGAGATGAGTGTCCTCGGACGTTGAAAGATTTTACGTTTTGTTTTGAGATAGCCAATAATAACTTCAATATCCTGGCAAGTTTACCTGAAGGAGACAATTGACGGACTTACGTGCTAGTCATAACCCACATCAGCCATTCCATTTTACCGTCAATATACAACTCCGATTACAGCATCTTGAAGTTGTTACGAAGATTTTGTGTGTGTGAAATCTTAAATCTCAATATGTCTTTGAGCGCAAACATGAAAAATTTGATAAGTACAACATCAACTTATGCCACCCTCGAGCTTGCTTATCCAAAGGCCAACGAGGCAACGATGCGCCAGTGAAAATGCATCAAGTTATGACGCCTTGGAGATCCTTTTGCCCAATGCCATGTAGGTAAGGTATGTGCGGGTTCATGTGCGAGCCAAACAATGTGCAACCATACGTCCCGTCTTTGTTATCTTCTTCGTCTTCGCGGTGGATAGTAGTACTGCTCCACATCCCGCTCTTGTACTGCTTAATAGACTTCACCGGGATGGTAAGACCAACCTTGCATATTCCCTCGCCAGCTTCAATGTTCCTCTCACATAATCCTCCAGCCTCCTGTCCTTTCTCTTGCGCATCCAGAGCAGCAGCACCACCAGGATGAACAGGTCAATGATAAAGTGTTTCACGAGCACCCAAAACCACCATCCAATCCAGTTAGTGAAGCTCTTTTCCTTGCGCGTCTTCCACTCCCTTCCCGACGAAATTTGCTCCCTCAGCGCCGCGATCTCGGCCGACAGCCTCACGATCGCTCTCTCCATCCTCTTGGTTCGTTTGTCGTTACGCTTTGCATACTCGCCCGGAAACTCATCGGCCCCAAAGAGTTCCTGTTCTGCCTCCTCCCTCATCCTTCTCTCCGACTCGTCTTCCTCACTCATGGGGCTCAACACCCTCAAGCCCCCTTCTGTCCCGCTCAGCGGGTGCTGAAACCTTCTCACACCAGCTCCTGGGCTTTGGCCGTATGGACCAACACTGCCATACCCATAACTGCCTCCGTTTCCTCCATTATTATACGGTTGATGTTGTTGTTGTTGTTGCTGCTGCTGCTGAAGCCCACCACCAGCAAGCGACTGCTCGCTGGGGCTATTACTCTTGACCTGATTCCACACAAACTCGAGCTCGGCGACCAGTTCGAGCGCGTTGGGCGTATTGTTGGCATACCGATGCATCGTCTCGATCAGCGCCTCGACGTAGCGCCGCTTAGCCTCGGTGCGGGACAGCCCTTTTTGTGAGTTCCACGCGTCCCACTTGTCCTGCTCGCGCGCAATGTCTTCGGGCGCAGCCCCGTAGGCTGTCGCGGCGCTGGGCCGCTCCATCACCCCGTCAACGTCGCCTTCCATGGCTTGCTTGTAAAGCCCATAGAGTCGCATGCGGTCACCGGGAGGTGGGCGGGCAGCGCCCGTTTTGGGAATCTTTTTGACGGTGTTGAGGGCATGAACAAACACCCGGTCTGAAGGAAAAGGAGGAAACGTTAGCTGAGTGTTTGCCTCCAGCATGTTAAAGTTACATAGGGTGGGTATAAGCTGATGCCGAAACGAGCGTACCTATCGAGTCTGCCATTTTTATGGTATATGAAGCGTGGCCAATAGATCAAATTATTAATTGTGTAGCTGGGACAGATATGATAACAATGGTATGTGGTGGTAAATGCTATTACGATCGCGCTTAGTATGGTATGTCTATCGTTGGGTATATGGCTGGAAATTGCAGTGGCAAAGCAGATTGTAGTCGTAAAGCGCGTCGATGGGGTCGTTGGGGGGTATAAAAACGTCGATTCGTGAAGCGTGACAAAGGGGTTCTGTTGATGGATTGATCTTTGGAGACTGGCTCACACCGGTCGGGAATCGCAATCGGCGGGCCGCTGAAACTTTGATTGCGAGCTGGACTGTTGAAGCTCGGAGCAATACCGTAATGTCTATGCCTCAGAAAGAAGGATGCCGACACCATAAAAGAAAGGTCGTTCGGGTGGGCGAAAGTGGGGGTTGGACTGGGTTGGATTACATCGTGTTAGTTGTAAGTGGGAGTCTGCTGTTGTTGTGCGAACGCAACTACAGGTGCTTGTCATTGATGTCGATTGGGCGATGTTTCATGGGCAGGTGGTACAGCTCTCCGCTATTTGGGATGCCTCGGCACGCAACTCGTTAAGGCCTGATCGGATCTCCACTTCCCCATCTTTTCGGCGCACCCCGGAGTAGGCGAGGTGGGATCGGGTCTCCCCTGGACGGAGCCGGCTTGATAGCTCGGCCGCAGTAAGCGCACTTGGGATACACCAAGAAGTTGTTAATGATTGGTCGAGCGCTTCATGATCACCGTACAGAAACTTGAGGACCCCATCTTTTATGTCTTTCCTTGTCCTTAGAGTCTTGGTTGTCAAAGCATAGTGGTTTATGAGACCTGAAGTCAAGATAAGCCGCCAGATTTTTGAAAGTAACGAACACTCCAGGTAGGGGTATAACATTCCAAAGATGCCTGATGGATATCTCTACTAACTATGAAAGGAGGTGCTGACCTGTGGATGAACAAGATGGTTCATCATCGACTTTGTCCACAGCTTGTTGGTTGTGGTTTCTCTTCACATGTGCAAACGAAACTGTCCCCGGTCCTCCCTTGAACCCGGGTCGTTTGCCCGTAGTAATGAATGGCCTAATTCATCTGCTATGCGTCCTTCTGATGGCCGATGCCCAAGATAAACCACGAGACTGTGGGCATGTGATGGTTGGTGTGTCGAAGTATTAAAGATCATATGAGACCGAACAGTACTTGGTCGCTACAACACGTCGCCAGTGGTTTCCTGTGCCGAAGGCTGATCCTTCAAGGGAAACGTCACTCCTGCCTGCTGCAGCTGGGCTTCCCGCGCGGCCTTCATCTCCGCCTTCTTGTCCGCAAACTTCTTGAGCAGCTTCTTGTTATCCAGGGCCATTTGAGCCGCTTTCTGACCAGCCTCCTTCTTGCTCAAAGCACTTCCGTGCCCAAGTTGCAGGTTGGTCTCTCCCCAGCCTGTCATAAAACAGCCAATAGCGAAAAGAGGCAGCTTAGTTCCCCTGTCCTTGAGGTTTTTGGAAGGGAGATCTTTATACTCGATCTTGACACCCCTGGCTCCAATGGTAGCTTCGAGTACTGTCTTTGGGTCGAGTGCCTGGCCACTTGCGGACTGCTTTTGCTCCGGCTTCCTGGCCTTCTTCTCTTCCTCGCGGATGTACTCCGCCATAAGAGGACCCCATAGGGCCTTGAGCCAGTCTGAAGCACGCTGAATCCCATTGGCAGGATCGGAAAGAATCACGCCTCCCACATAGGCTTCGAAAAGGTCGCCGAGAATCTTAACTCTGACTTTTTGACTTGCGTTTGTACCGCCCACTCTGCCCTCCATGTTGAATTCTTCCGGGATATCGGCCATCTTGTCCAAGCCGTAATGGACCGAGAATTCGCCTAGTGTGGTGTTGCGGATAAGCATCTCGCGACGTTGTGCGCTTTTGCCAGCCGGCAAGGTCGGGAAAGTTTGGTATATGAAGGAGGAGGCGATGAGCTCAAGATAAGCGTCGCCAATCCACTCCAGCCTCTCATAACTTGCAACAGGGTCGTTGTTAGCTTTACCAGGGTGTGTGAGCGCCGCCTTTTTGAGTGCCGGGTCCAGAATGTCGGGGAGCGGTGGCCGCGTTCTCTGGATGGTAGCGAGTGTCCATTTGGTATTGGCATGCAAAGAAGGAATTTGGAAGGAGGCTGCGGACTCCAATGTAGGGCCTTGTGATGCGGATGGTGCAGAGTCTGACTTCGCACGCTTGGAGGGCGGTTCTGATACCTCCTCCGGGGTGAGTCCGTGTTTCGGCATAGCAAGATTGTACTTTCCTACAAGCAATCCGAATGCCTCAGGTCTCGCGTTGATGCGGCGATGAAATTGTAGAGGCAGAATCGAAAACGGATTCAAGATGAAAACGAAATCCCGGGCCATTGCGTAGTGGAAACCCTAACCCCCTGTTCGACCCCAGATCCACATCACCTCAGGGCACTGCTGCCCGCTGCCCTGTTATGACCCGTAGCTGTCATTCTTAGCGCCTGTCAGCCCTGGAACGCGCCGACCTCAGCTTCATCAGCGGGCTTGCGCCTGACGGCCCGGGGACAGTGCGGCTCGAAAACAACGGTTGCAACCCGTGCTCCACTCTTTGTACCAATGAATGGTTATGATTGGTGGCGCATTGCTTGACGGGCTGGAGCGGGAGATCTCTGAACGACGTCGCGGCTCTTGATGTTGCTGTTTCTAGATTTCGCGAATCCGCAATTCCATGTAACGGCAAGATGTCGGTCCCACGGGCGCGGTTACTGCAACTTGTGAAGGTATGGAACAGTTCCGAACGAGAGGAAAGACCAGTCCGCTAACTAGGTTATACCTAGGCTCGTTGCGAGCTCTTCTCGACGACTTTCAATCCCGAAGGCATCCGGACCGGTAACAAGATCCTGCGTCAGCGACTCAAGGGCCCGGCACTTGCGACCTACTACCCCCGCAAGAACGTCGGTATCCGCGAGCTTCAAAAGGAGTTCGGTACTCTTGGTCTCGAGGTGGACGATGAGGTTGATGATGATCGTTTGGAGCACTTGGCAGCGTTCGTCTCTCTCATTCCTGCTAGTGTTTACTTGCAAACATCACAATCTAACCATACCTTACAGTCTGAGAGCCCGCGACAAGGGAGCGCCCAAGAAGAAGAGAACGGCACCCTCGGCGGCCGGTGGGTTCCGTCTGCACCTCTTGCTCACGGTTCAAATCTCTAACGTTCATATTCTGCGACAGATGCGAAGAAGAAGAAATAAGAAACGACGTCCCGAAAACAGAACTACACGACGTGTACATGTATCATATAGTGGGCGGACTAGAATCATATACCCCGAATACCTGGCGTTCCTCCGGCAGTTGGTCCATTTCGACATCCATTTTTCCGCTCAGTACTTGATGCCATAACAGTCTCCACGTGACGAGGTGCTGCCCATGACTGTACATATGGTTAGCGACGCCCGCGGCACTTGTTCCTTCAAATGCTGTTGAATCGTTGCCTGGTTTGACAGGCAGGTTTGTGGTTACCAGCTTTGACAAAGGTTCATCTCCGGACTGTCCTCCCATGCGTCTACACAAGTCTTGTTATGCATCGAACAAAGAAGCGCCTGTTGATAAGCTGAAGATACTGTATCTTGATTCCATAGCGCGGATGGGCTAGAGGTAGGATATGACCCTTCGCCATTGTCCATCTTTACGAACAGCTTTGATCATTTGGGTGAAAACAAGCGAGTGTCGGATCACCCAGGATCTTTGCACAAGCCGTCCATGTCAAAGAACGCCATGAAGGATGTGAAAAGGTGCGTTGGCTCTTCCTGCTCCATTTCTAGCCTTTTCAAAAATAAAAATGGATCGATAGGAATGGAAGCTAATCACACCTGCCACATTTTGCAAAGACCTTGGCATCCCAGCCCTACGGAACGAGAGAAGCCGACCCGCCACTCCTCTCTGTTGATGCCGACGATGCTAGGTGATGATGCTGTCTTGTTGAAGCTTCCAGATGTTGGATGCTTCCCTACCTACCTCTACTCTACTCATTTTCATTCCGACGCAGAATGGTAGATCACATCGGATGGCAGGTGACATGAACACCTATGAATACCGCCTAATGGACCCGGAATATGTCATTGGGGCTCGGACGCCTAACCCAGAAACCCCTTGATCGTATGGGAAGTGGCAGCCGGACAGCAAGGTCCTTAACGCGGCAGGATGTCTTATCGCTGGCTCGGTTGACCATCATGCCCGACGTCCCCGCGACAAGTGAATAACTTCCGCTTGGTGATAAGGATCCCGCTACAAGAACGGGAGGCACGATGCCGAACGCCGATGATCGTTAGATGGAAGACCGGTCGCAACTTCCCCAGCGACTCATCATATTCGATTCCGATCATCGAATGGACGAGCCGATGTGCGTTCACTCTTCAGATCATCTGATGGTTGCCCAAGTGAGCTTCGATCATTGAGATTGCGGATTATCTCATACCTAGGCATCGTGAACCCCTTTTCGCTTGGAGTGTCCGGGCAGTGACACCTGGGCAGTCCCGGTCACAGTTCCGTCGTGCCTTCCTCCCTCGGGAGCCAAGGGTCCACCATTTCGACTTGAGTCTCGGTCATCCCGGGCTCATACCCAGAGGTACCTAGGTACCTCTAGCTCTATTTTGACCGATGCGTCCATCGTCACCAAGATGTTTGTTGCTGTTGCCTTGCAAAAAGGTCCAAGTTCAGGGCAACTGTAGCTGAAAGTACGGGTATCTCGGGCACAATTAAACTCTTTCTTCCGTCCCAGACCAGCTCTTGGAGCTCTTTCTCTTTTCCCCATTATATCAACACATACCTCTAAGGCTTCTTCCCTTTCTGCATCTTCTTGTCGGTGCCATCACCAACCGTGTTTTCTCAAAAGCGGTTTGTGGTCATCTCTCGTCCCCAAGCTTCTATTTATCTGTGTCTTTCGTCGCCATTGGAACCAAATCTACTGCTTTTCTCTATCACCATCTTGAGCATCTCCTCCCATTGTGAAACACCAGCACCCAAAGCATCCCTCCAATCCCCCCAGGCTAGGTCATTCAACACCCAGCCCTCAGCAGACGACCATGTCTGCCGTCGCAGCATCCACCGGCTCTCCCAACGAGCGCCGTGCTTCGGCTTCCAGGAGTTTCTCGCAGTCTCAGGACGAGAACACGAAGCTTCCCGATGAGTTGATGTCTCCCAACTTGCAGCAGGTACGTATTCTAGTGTATGTTACGTATCCAGTTGCATGTTTCAGGTTCTTTTTTCAGGTCTTGGAAAATTGCTGCCCTCACCTCCCGCCGGGTCGTCAGAACCTTGCCGGCCCTCAGACGGCGACGAACTGCAACACACTCGGGACGAAAATCATTACAGCGGACTGGCAGCTGTCGGTACTAAACCTCTCGACACGCGGCCGCCAGATACTCACCAGCCCCGCTCACTCCCACAGCAACATAGATTCAGCCACTGCTTGCTCACAACCTTATTCTTTTCTTCAACCGAACCATCGGACCTGTATTTTGTCCCAGTCACTCCTTTCATATTCACTTGACCTATCTCGCAGCTGTTGCGCCTTTAAACCCACTCATACATATCCACAGGCCTTAATCACTGACCCGGTCTCTGCTAGGACGTCGAGCCGTCCCCTCAAAAACACGCCATCAGCGCCCTTAAAACGTCCAAGATAGCGAATCGGAACTACACAAAGGTAGTGAACCACATCCAAGGAAGCAGCGCCTACATTCGTTAACCACATAGCATAGGTTAAGATGAACGAGGCCATGGCCGCCGTTGACGCCTACTCCATGGACAAATTGTACGCCACCATCTCCGAGCAACAAGTCATGTCACTGCAGCAACGCAGCGTCGAGTCTTTCAAACCGTCGGACGAAGAAGTCAGATTCCCTCGTGTCCTTGATCACCAGTCGTCGTGCAGCTCTCTTCCCATCACGCCCGCTACGGATGGGTTCCATACAACTGCATCTACGACTAGACCTGCTAGTGCCACGCTCAGCGACGGTCAACCCACCAACGACGAGGTTTTGCGTTTGAAGCAAGAGCTTGCGCAGGCCCAGACCAAAATCTCACGGCTGGATCAAGAACTGGCTCAGACTCGCTACGTCACCCAGGACGGTGTATGCGCGACGCCAGACTTGAGTGTCGATCCCGACTTTCAGGCTGCCAGTGTTGCGACGGTATCTCCCTCGGGCTCGCGACCCGCCACGAATGGAGCATTTGGATGCCCTGCCAAAATGCCATTCGGCCGTAACGACAACTGGGCGGCTCACAACAATGCGCGCCCCGATACTGGAGATACTTTGTTAGACATGTCGGCTGCAGGCCTCAATCGTTCTCGCGCCATTTGGAACAACAGCAAATCTTCCTATTCTCCGACTTTTGCGCCCGGACCTATCGCCATTGTCGACGGTCCCCAGGCCACACCGTGGCAGAACATGCGTGGCTCGAACCAGGCATACGAGCCTTCTTATATGCCATCGGCCCTGGAGACTTACCGACCTGAGCGTATCAACAATGATCACGACATGAGCCGCCCCATGGGTCGTCGAGGCAACAGATACGATAACCGCTTAGGCTCCTCCAGTGCCTATGGTGGTTATAGCGTGTACAACATGGGGCCTGCCCATTACGAAGCTACTACTCCTGCTTATCCAGGAGGCCCGCCCAACGCCATGGCGGGGGGCGCAGGCATGAATATGTATTCGGCCTATCAACAGCCGCCGGTTGTATCACCGCTCTCTCCGCACGCTACTGAGTTTACTGCTGCAGGAGCACCTTGGAAGACAGAGGTAAGTCCGGTTGGAATAGATTTCATCATTGATTGGACTGACAAACTCCCCTTACAGACTGTGACTTCCGAAGGACAAACCTATTTGCCGGCTACGGAGCCTCTCAACTATCGCAGGCTGTTGGACCGCAACGTCACTTGCGACTGGAAGTATATCGTCGACAAGATTGTTTGCAACAATGACCAACAGGCTTCTATATTCCTTCAGCAGAAGCTTAAGGTGGGAACGCCCGAGCAAAAGTATGACATTGTTGAAGCCATCGTTGCGCAAGCCTATCCATTGATGGTCAATCGGTTCGGAAACTTTCTCGTACAGCGCTGCTTCGAACATGGCACTCCTGAGCAAGTCATCAAGATTGCTGAGGCAATCCGCGGCAATACTCTCAACCTTTCTATGGATCCCTTTGGTTGCCACGTCGTTCAGAAGGCCTTCGATTCTGTCCCTGAAGATTACAAGGCTATCATGGTCCACGAGCTTCTGCGCAGGATTCCGGAGACGGTTATTCACCGTTACGCATGCCACGTGTGGCAGAAGCTGTTCGAGCTGAGATGGACTGAATCTCCCCCGCAGATCATGAAGTACGTCAACGATGCTCTTCATGGCATGTGGCATGAGGTTGCACTGGGTGAGACTGGTAGTCTTGTTGTCCAGAATATCTTTGAGAACTGTTTGGAAGAAGACAAGGTATATTATCTATTAATGTTCCACATAACCCCTTTACTGCATGTTTACTGATGATGTATGCACAGCGTCCCTGCATCGAGGAAGTCCTTGCCAACATCGATATCGTCGCCCATGGCCAATTTGGAAACTGGTGCATACAGCATATCTGCGAGCATGGTGCTCCCGCAGACCGCAGCCGTGCTATCGATCATGTTATTCGCTATGCAGCTAAGTACAGCATGGACCAGTTCGCCTCAAAGGTTGTTGAGAAGTGCCTCAAGATTGGAGGCCCAGAATTCTTGGGTCGCTATCTGGATCGCGTTTGCGAGGGCAGACACGACCGTCCACGCATCCCGTTGATCGATATCGCCAGCGACCAGTACGGCAACTACCTCATCCAGTACATTCTGACCCATGCCAACCCTCAGCACCGGGAGATCGTTGCTGCTCACATCCGGAAGCATATGGTCTCTCTTCGTGGATCGAAGTTCGGCTCCCGCGTCGGCATGCTCTGCACCAACCATGCTGTTGCTACTCGTCCTGGCCCTGGTGTTGGCCCTGCCATGGGAGGCCGCGTTGCTCCTGGTCCTCGCTTCAATGGAACTTATCACCGTTGAAGGTATGCCGTATCACAACAGACCCCTCGCTCATGAGGACGACAATTTTCCTCTTTTGTTTCAAGTATACACTACCTTTTGTTGCGACAATGTGCGAGTACAAAGGACGTCGTTCGTTCGATTCTGCGCTGGATTTTCGCAATCGGTTCTCAGCTGGAAGTTTACCTATAACATATGAGATTCGGTTTTCACAACATCTTCGTCTGCAGCTAATTTAACAAATCACCCGACATCCTACGCTCGGGAGGCTACTGCCCCTTCGAGCGCTTTGGAAACAACATCACTTATGGATTTTGCAATATCAAGACGACCCGGTACGCGGCTCATAATGGAGGAAGTATGAATCTGCCTTGTCCCGATCTAGTGATGACGAGCAGTCACACAACCTTTTCTAGTTGTTCGTTTCTCTGACGGACCCGTTTTCCCCTAATGTGCGGAGTTTATCTTTTGGCGCTCAAGTCTGCTGAGGAGGGTTGACTCG